GAGACTATGGATGGATGGATGGATGGATGGATGGATGAACAAAATGTGGTATATACATACAATGGAATATTATTCAGCCTTAAAAAGGAAGGAAATTTTGACACATGCTACAACATGGATGAACTTTGAGGACATTATACTAATGGAAATAAGCCAGTTACAAAAAGACAAATATTGTATAATAATACTTATACAAAGTTGAATTTGTACCTAGTACCTAGTCAAATCCATAGAGGCAGAAAGTAGAATGGTGCTAGGGGCCGGGGGGGGGGGTTGTGATCCATTGCCGGTCACGAAAAAAGACAAAAAGGAAAAAAAAAAAAAAGAGAAGAGAACAGATACGATGTTGATGGGGGGGGGGGGGGGGGGGGGGGGGGGGGGAAAGGATGGCAAGTTGTTTAATGAGTATTCAATTTTACAAGATGAGACAAGTTCTAAAGACTAGCTGCACAACAGTGTGAATGTACTTAACACTACTGAACTGTACACTCAAAAATGGTTAAGATGTTAAGTTTTATGTTATGTGTGTCATGTCACAATTAAAATTTTTTTGAAAAAAAGGAAAAGAAACCCTTTGTAGTTGTTTGCACGGAAATTAAATGTCCTATCTAGTGTAGAAAGGAAGAACACCTCTTTCTGGGTATCATTAAAGTATTTCAGATTGCCAGGCCACATAATGTTCAAGTAACATTAGATAGCTCTGCTCTACTCATGAATTAACAGTTACGATTTTCAAAAAAAATCTACTTTTTCAGTTTGCTGACATACTAAATTCACACATTTACAATAAAAAGAAAAGATTCAGATTTAATTATCTTTCCAATTATCAAGAAAAAATTATGAGATACTAATTGATATACCATCAATTATCACTTTCATGAGGGATTTTGTTACAGTAGACCTGCCTTGTGAGAAATGTTAAAAGAAATGCTAAAAGTTCTTTACAGAGAAGAAGAATTATATAGCTCAGAAACTTACATTTACATAAAGAAAGAAAGAAATCAGAGAAGGAATAAAAGAAGGTAAAATGAAAATGTTTAATTTTCTTATTCTTAATTGGTCTAATAGGTAACAGTTAATTCAAAATAATAATAGCAACAATGTATTATGTATGCTTGTGAGTATGTGTGTGTGTGTGTGTGTGTGTGTGTATTTGTATATTCTTATGTGCAAGGGAAATAATGCCAGCAATGATACAAGGGATGGGACAGAAGGACTGGCATAGTGTTATCTGAAAATGGACTTGGATTAGCTGGAAATATATATTGCATACTCTAGGGCAACCACTAAAAAAAGTAAAAAAAGAAGTACAACTGATATGCTAAGAAAGGAGAAAAAAATGGAATCATATAATATGTTCCATTAAAAATGCAAAAGGCAGAAAGAGTGGAAGACAGAAATAGGAACAAAGAACAAGGGCAACAAATAGAAAACAGTAACAAATATGGCAGACATTAACCCAACAATATCAGTAATCACTTTGAACCTCATGGTCTAAATGCACCAATTAAAAGAAACTGTCAGAGTGGATCAAAAAACAAGATCCAATTATATGAGTGCACTGTCCACAAGAAATCCACTTTAAATATAAAGACATATATAGTTTAAAAGCAAATGGATGGAGAAAGATATATGATGCAAACACGAATCAAAAGAAAGCAGGTGTAGCTATTTTAATTTCAGACAGAGGAGACTTCATGGCAAGTAACATTATCAGGAATAGAGGGACATTACATAATGGCAAAGGGGTCAATTCTCCAAGAAGAACTAACAATCCTTAATGTGCCTGCACTTAACAACAGTGCATCAAAATATGTAATGGAAAACTGATAAAACTGCAAGAAGAAATATTTGAATCCACTATGATAGTTGGAAACTAACACCTTCTAAAATAAATGGACAGATCCAGCAGGGAGAAAATCAATAAGGACATGGTTGAGCTCAACAACACCATCACTTAACTGGATGTAATGAACATCTACAGACTACTACATAGAACAACCACAGAATAGACACTCTTCGCAAGCTCACATGGAACACTCACCTAGACAGACCATATTCTGGGCCAGAAAATACACCTTAACAAATTTTTATAAAATGGAAGATAGCCAGAAAATTTCCAAATACTTGGAGATTACTTAGAGAACACATTTCTTAAAAATACATGGGTCAAAGAAGAAATCTCAAGAGAAATTTTAAAATATTTTGAACTAAATAAAAATAAAATACAACATCAAAAGTTGTGGGATGTAGCAAAACCACTGCTTAAAATAAATTTTATTGCATTGAATGCATATATTAGAAAAGAAGAAAGATATATATTGAACTCACTCCAACCAGATGATAAAAAATACAAAGGTGACCATTTAACATCTGTTTTTTACAAGGTTAGCAGACTAAAAGCAGTCTATTCTTTGAACTTTTACAGACTGAATGAAGGCTAAACTCTAATTTCAATAATATAGTTTCCTAAAGGTGAATGAATCAATTCACACACATACACACACACACACACACACACACACACA